GTTCACCGTGACTGGGAAGAGAAGGCAGGAACTTGAAGCAGGTGGTCACCGGTAGACTGCATAAATGCTTAGTACTCAACTTAATTTTTCTACTTTTAACCCAAGCTCAGGGAATGGTGCTGCCCACAATGGGCTGGGTCTTCCCACACCAATTAAATAAGATATCAAGACCATCTTCCAGAGAATTGCCTACAAACAAACCTAATCCAGACAATTCTTCATTGAGGCTCTCTTTCCAGGTGAGTCTAGGTTTTGTCAAGTTGACTATTAAATCACCATCACAGGAAGCAAGCAAAAATAAATAAGTCAATAGGAAATAGGAAAATATTATAGACTTATTTATAACATAACTTAAAATTCATATGACAAAACTTTAAAAATATAGTACAGGGAAACACATTTGGAACATCCACCAAGAAAGAAGTTAATTTTCCTAACAGGTAAAGAATTCTTATCAATCAAAAAGAAAAACCAAGTTCTAAAAAAAAAAAAAAAAACAAAAAAAAACAAAAATATGCGAAGTTTAGATACCTGATCAACAAATACAAAGAGTCAAAATATGTTCTAAAAAATATTCAGTTGTACCCATAACTGAAGAACTATAAACTAAAATACAATATAAAAGGTAACAAAAATTTTAAAATTTGATAATATTCAGTCTTGACTAGGGAGTGGGGAAGTTATTGAATGGTTTGGTAAAATCTAATTTGCTTAATTGTAAATTTAAAACTGAAAGTCACACCTTGGACATACCCACCAATCTGAACTACATTGTAAATTACTTTGTTCATTTAACTATAGTTTTATTGACTCCCACTGCTATCCAGTCTACTGGAGTAAAGTAGGCCCAGCGTTCAGTGCTATGCTTGCAGCTTCATGTCTGTGAGCTTGTTTACTGTGCCATTACCTTCTGCTTGTACAACGAGGGACACCAGAACAGAAAGGAATCAAGAAGACACCAGGTACAGAGCAATGGCAAGATGGCAGATTGCGAGAAATGGTCTTCACAATTAAAATGCTTAGGCCTTATGTTCAGTCTGTGTGTCAGACTGCTGACTTCTACCCAGAGATCCATTGAATGCAGCAAGAACAAGAATGAAATAGTCGACATCCATGCAAACAGTAAGAGCTGTCCATGTGAGATTGATAGATTTCTCATTCTTTTTCCCCAAAGGGGGGGAAAATTGTGACTCATTCCTTCAAGGACATGCACCTGATTAGAACAGAGCCAGCACTAGGACCCAGGAACCCCAACCCTCAGTCCAGGCACCTTCCTGCAGTGGGCTGCATTCCCTTCATATGGACATGTAAACACAGCCATGTGGGGATTGGCAGGTCGGACTGAGTACCACGCAGAAGCATTAGCATATAACATCTGCCAGCACCCACTCCAGGGGCTCCAAGTTAAGGGCCACTGCATATTATGCTTATTCTATTTCAAAAGGCCTCATAGGGCTGGGGCATAGCTCAGTGATAAGTTTATGGTGGGTTGCTGACTTGTCAACTTGATATAAATCACCCTGGAAAAGCATCTCAGTGAGGACCTGGGTTGGCCTATGGGCAGATCTGTAGGAGAGTGCCTTAATTAAGTTAATCGATGTGAGAAGACCTGGTCTAGTGTGGGTGGCATCTTTCCCTAGACAAGGTTCCCAAGAATGACAAAATCAGGCTGAGCACGAGCAATCAAGCAGGTGAGCACACACCCATTTCTCTCTGCTTTGGAGCACAGGTGAGATACGACCAGTTGTTTCCAGGCTGCGCTGCTTTGACCTCTCTATGCCATTTCTCCCTGAAGTTGCTTTTCATTGGGGTATTTTTATCAAACATAAATGAAACTAGCCAGCGGGCACAAGGCTCTGGGTTTGATCCCCAGCACCAGGGAAAACAAAACAAAAACAAAGAGAGACAGGAATCTCCTAATTGAGTTGTTCATGCCCACCACATGTTTCCCTCACATTCAGTGTCACCTACCACTCACTCTCATTAGTCTGCACCTACCTGATCCTCCTCCTGTCTCTTTACTCCCAATGTTACAAGCAGTATCAGGAGCCCCTTGTCAATCTCCACTCCTGATAATGACCCAGACCAACACTGCCCAACAACGTAATACAAGACAGATCTGAGCCATATGCACATTATTGTCCAGTAACCACATTTTAAAAGGTAAAGAGAAGCTGGTGAGCATTTTAGCAGCATATTTTACTTAATCTGATACATATATAACACATTATGTCAATATCCTATCCATAATAAAATTAATTTTTCACATCAAACTTTTTAGATCTGGTGCAAACTTTACACTCACAAGGCATCTCCTTCTGCATTGGTTATGTTTTAAATGCTTAAAAGGCGCAGGCCAATGTCCATCATACTAGACAGAGTGGAAGTTCCATGAGTTTTTTAAAAAAATCATTTGCTCACATGATTCCCCAACAAATGCAAACCTCATGCATGCCTGTCCAAGAAAGGGCTCTGCTACAGGACTACATTCCCAAGTTGTGCTTTTGCTCTTGTTTTTAGGTTAGTGTTTATTTGTTTGTTTGTTTTGAGACCTAATCTCAACATGGTCGCTTTGGCTAGCCTGAAACTTAAGATGTAGACCAGGCTGGCCTCAAACTCACAGAAATCCACCTGATTCCTGAATGTTAGAATTAAAACCTTACCTGGCTTAAGGCTACACATTTATAAAACTTTCTTTTTTTCAGTTTCTTCAACATGTCTCCACATTCATGTTCTAAGGCAAGCAACGTTGTAGGTGTCACTTGTCACAGCTGCATCTGTCTTCCCTGTGGTGGCTCTCTCCAGACCTGGTTCTACCCACTGCTACAAGTCCTTGCACCATCCCCATCCCCTGCTACCCTCCTGTCTCTGCTAACTGGCTGTGAAAACAGAACTCCCCTCCCCTCACCACCCTACAGGACACTAACCATGCACAGGCCCCAGTTCTGCTCTCGTGGACCTGGGGTCACCCGGCTTCAGAGCAGCTCTAAGGTTATTTCAAAACAGGCTTGTCATTAATTTGAAATAAAAGTAGCCGCCTAGCCCACTTCTGTTTCTTTGCAAAAATAAATCTAATAGTTGTCTACCAACACAAGACAAGCTACCTATCCGTTTTTCAAACGATGTCTGTCCTACCTCAAAGATTCGGTTACAGCTAAAGTTGTGGTTCTTATATAGAGCGAGTGTCTTGGCTAGAAAAGGTGGGCTGAGCAGAAGGTGAACACCTCCACGAAGTTAAATGGGTCTGGTAAGAGACCGTAGGAGTTTTAAACTGTGGTACAGTTTGCTTCCCTTTGCTCAGATGTCAGGACAAATGTGCTCTCTCCTTCACAGGAAAGCTGCAAGACCTGGTTCTGAGTCCTCCAGTCAGCTGCAGCCACAGGCACCAGCACAGTTGTCCATTCATCCTGCATTTTAGACTGTCCTGCTGCCTATGGCAAGCTTGCTCTGTTCCCTCCAGCTCTGCCACCACTAACCCTCTCTGTTCTTTATCCCCAAGGCACCTGCTTCCTCACGCACTTCCTCTTTCCTAAAAGACAAGATGGCTGGCAGCCCTGCAGTGAAAAGGGAAAGAGAAGCTGCTTCATGGAAGGAAAAAAAAAAAAAAAAAACCTGAAGTGAGTCACCTTTCAAGAATTTGCAATCCTAGTGCCTGAGTACTGCCATGCTAAGTCACCAACCCCCCCCCCCCCCCCCCGCCCCCAGTGAAACGCACTGTATTTGTTATGTGCACTGCTCTCTGATGGTATTTACACTGTACACCCGTCCTTTGTAAGTGCCACTTGTAGGTACAAAGCATGTAAGCTGTGCACAGTTGTAGACTTTAAGCCTAAAGAAAATCAGATCAAATTAGAGTTTCCCTTAGGTTTTGTCCCAGCTTTTGACAAGTTAGGGAAAACAGCTGCAGCTCCCCAAACTTCCCACTTGCTCCCCTAGGCACTGCAGCTCGCTCAAATTTAACCAGCTCTAAGAACACCTCGGCCTATACCCAGAAGAGCCTCTCCTCCTGCTGATTCTCAGCAGCTCACATCAGGGGGCAGCTGCACTTGGCTGTGGTCTGCTAGGGTTCTGCCTGGCCTGATTTTTCATGCTGCCATTTTGAATTAGCATAGGTTTCCTCAGCAAGAGATGCATCTTTCAGGCAGGCGTGAAGCACAGAACACACACACACACACACACACCATCACCACCACCGCCCCAGGAAGAAACAGTTAAGCTACAATTACACAGGAAAACCATACTATTTAACGGAACCCTACTAGGTCAGCTTGGGAGACAGAAAATAGTAAGTTGCCTTAAATACAAATGGGTGTGATAGATGTTTTTATTCCTAAATTCTAACCGATTTTCTAAATTCAAGCATCCCTTGCACTGTAGAGTAGACCTCACAGTGGTTGTTAAATAATTATGCCGGGACAGAGATAAAACTAGGAGGTAAACTGAGGTGGACTGCTAGCAAGGGTCTAGACACCTGCCATGACCCTACTCCAATTCCAATCCAGGGGTGAGACCTGGGCGAAGCAGGGACATGTCCCGCCAAGCGCATTGGCCTTTGGGGGCATCCGCAGACCTCGGGACTCTGCAGGGGCGGCCCAGGGCAGCAGCCCCATCAGGCTCCTCAGGTGCATTTCTCAAGGAAGGGGCCAGGCTCTCTGGATTAGCCGAGCCCGCGAACCCGAATTCCTGGGAGCCGCCCCGGGAAGCACGGAGACACTTCACCTGGCTTTACAACTCGGCACCCAGGAAAATCAGCGGCGGGGTTGTAAGAATAAAAGGGAGGTGCAGGAAGGATGCGCGGTGGAGAGTAGACTGCAGTAGCTTCGTCCCCGCAGTCCTGGTCTTGAGTCACGCCCGATCCAGGGCATCTTTCATCGGCTCTCCCCTCCCCCGGCCCGCAATCGGGAGGGGAGACCCCGGACATTAGAGCGGCCATAGGGGTGACTGTCCAGGGGAAGATCAGTTGCCCGCGCCCGGCGCTCCCCGCCTGGCCTGTGGCTCACCTGCTAAGCAGCGGGCTCCGGCCGGGTCCTGTGGTGCTGATGCTGAGACTGCCGAGTTGGAGAGAGCTGCGGAGGTCGGGTTACTGTGTCTGCATCAGGGGCTGCAGCAGCAGGAGAGCGGGCGACCGCCAGCGCTTCCAGCTCTCCCAACTCCGGGCTCTCCAGTCCCCTGCAAACAGCTGGCTGGGTCACGTGATCGCAGGCCCACCCTCTGCTTCTCCGAGCTCAGGGCCCCAGGACCGGACAGTGTTTGACTGTCAAGGCCTCAGAACCCGCCCCATCAGGGAGGGGAGGGGAGGGCACCAGGAGCCCGGAGAGCAGCGGAGAGGGCGGGACTCAATCAGAAAGTGGCTTCCTCCTTTCTAGGTTTTTATTTCTTGGTTGCAGCTCTCTCCAAGGGATGAACTGGAGCTTTATGGAGCCAGGTCCAACTTCCTCCTGCCAACGTTTTACTGCCCCTGGTGTCTAGTCGTTTGTCTGGGCCTTTGGCGCCTAGGGGAGAATTCGCTGCAGAGATCTTCCCTCTGCATCTGGTTGACTCCTGTGTCGTCCCCTGATGTTAACCGATGGTGTTCATAAGCAGACTGTGCAGCATATTCACACTTTGTGGTCCAAGGGTCACACAAGTAGCAAAGCCAAGTCCTCCCCAGGGTTAATAAACTTTTTTTGGGTGGTGGTAAGGTGATGCCCACCTTAGGGTTATTGACAGTACATCTGGGGTTGAGACTCGATAAAGGCCATATCAAACCATAAGACACAAGTCCACAGGGAAATAAAGGCAGTAAACCCGCTGGTTGAAGAAGCATTTTCTGATTATCAGATGAACATAAATCGAAGTTTTATAGCCTGTATGGGGGGACTTGGAAATATCTCTCAAAATAAGAACATGTATACTTTCACCTGATTCCACTTTAGGAATTTATTCTACAGAGGGAAGGACGCAGGTGTAAAATGAGCAGGAGGTCCTCTGTGGCCATATTACCCGTTACCAGCAATGGCTAGAAAAAAACCTCAGTGTGGTGGCACACTCCTGTGGGCCTATCTTTAGAGAGACTGAGGTAGCAGGGATAGCTGGAGGCTAGCCTGAGCTACATAATAACGCCAGTCTCAAAAACTAAATTTAAAAATTGAATCAAATTCAGCCTATACATATGGGAATGCCATCCATCGTATTTTAAAGATGAGGTCAGTGTCTGTGTGCTGATACAAGATTTTCAACCTAAACCAAATAAAAAGCTAAAATGGAGAAAAGTTAGGTATAGAACAGTGTGTGAATGTGTGTGTGCCCGCATGTGCACAGAAAAGAATACATATGCTTGCACTTCTTCTGCAAATGCATACACTACCTTTGGAAGGATTCATGAGAAATTTTAACAGGAGATTCCACATTGGAGGAGAGTTGTGTGACTGGCTGCTAGGAAAGGAGATGTTTTACCATGTCTCTTAAATGTGTGTGCTTGTAGCTTGTCAGGTCAGGGAACAGACCATGGGAAAAAGAGGAGGGAATCAAAGTAGATAGTGTAGAATAAACCATTGGTTCACAGACTTGGAACACAAAGGCGCCTTATTGTCCCGTACTCCAAACAAGGAACTGTAGCCTAATGCACGTGGTTAATCGACATTAGAATCTCCTAAAGAGCTGAACCTGGGACCCCGCCCATACCTACCCAAGTTGGTCTCCAGAGCTGAGGCCAGGGAACTTGCAGTCTGTCAAACTTTGCATTTTTCCTTGTGAATTAAACTTGGACAGCTGCTGTTTGAAGTGTCTCCCTTATCTCCAGAGTCTGCAGAGACACTGTGCCACAGTGCAATAAGACCTTTTTTCCCCCCTTGGCTTTGTATGGGAGAGACAGACTCTGCTGCCATTTAAGTCACACAAATAGAAATAAGGGAACAGAACAGTCCAGCAGATACAGAAAACATCCAGAAATATCAGTTACGGATTTAATCATTGGCCTCTACCAATCATGTGAAGTCTAGCTGTGGGTAAATTACAAGCCCTCTGTGAGCTAGCCTCCAAAGGAAAAATCTCTGAAATAACATTCAATTGTTACACAGTCAATGATAGTCTATCCAGCATGCTCAGAGGTCAGAGGCCCAGAGCTAGTAAATAACAGTGCATTGGAGTCTGCTTTCATCCACGAAGTAAGCGAAGCTTTTTTTCTTCTTCACAATCATAAAGGTAGGAGGGGTACAGTGGTGACATTTTTTTCTTCATGCATTGTCACAAGGGACACCCCTAAAATCCCTTTACAGAAACCCCTGTTGGTGTGCTTCTAGTGTTATTTATAAGCAGGGGGAGATTGAAATAAGATTATTTGTAACTGTCCCTGCATACAACCTCTCTCCCCACTTAAATTACTGTTAAGAACATTCTATGTATGGGGCCAGTGAGTAGCCTTAAATGGTAAGGCACTTGCTGCAAAGCCTAATGACCTGAGTTCTGTGGTGATATATCATTTGTGATTTATTAAAGCTTGTCTGAAGATTCAGAAAGCAAAGCCAGCTTCAAACTATAGAGATCAGGCAGTGGTGATACACATCTTTTATCTCAGCAGCCATAGAGCTAGGCAGTGGTGGTACACACCTTAAATGCAGGACTCATGATTAAGTGGTATTTGGATCTCTCTTAGTTCAAGGCCACACTGAGCTACTTAAAATATATCCAGTCCTAAAGAGAAACAGTTCACACAAAGGTGATCTCAGAACTTGGTATCACACGCCTTTAATCCCAGGACTCATGAGAGGTATTTAAGACAGGAACAGGGTTTTGGAGCTGGCATTCATTCTCCAGCTGCATTGAGGATAAGAAGGCATAGATCTTCCAAGAATTTTCTCCTGTCTTTGCATGCAGAGATTGACAACATTAAATTTGTGCCCAGGATCTTGATACATTCCCCTTTCATTTCTGAGAAAGGGAAGAAAAGATTATTTACTTTATAGATGTGACTATTCAGTTGCTCAGTACCATTTGATTATTCCCACTGAGTGTCTTTGCTGTTGTAAGAAAAAAATCAATTGGTTGTATAAATGCAAGTCTATTTTGGCTATGTTGTTCCATGTGTTTCTTTTTATGTCAATACTGCATTCTCTTGGTTACTCTAGCTTTATAGTGAGGCAGGGAGCTTAAGTCTTCCAACTGTGGTTTCTTTCAAAACTGTTTTGGGTGTACTAGGCACTTTGTACTTCCCAGTAAATTTTAGAATCTTTTCATCAGTTTCTATTATTAAAATCTTTACCTTTAATATACAGATGGGTTTGGAGAAAATTACCTTCTTAAGCTGAGGTTCCTAATACATGAGCATATTTCTCCATTCGTTTAATTGTCTTTAAATTTTCCCAACAGACTTTGTTTAGTAAGAATTCCATGTCTGTAGATATTATTATAACTACTAATTTTCTGCTTTACTAATTGTCACTAATGTATAAAAGCAATCAATGTCTTTCATGTGTGTGTTGTGTGGGTGAGGATGGATACATGCATGGCATATATGTGGAGGTCAGAGAACAACCTTGGGTGACAGTCCCCAGGTTCTCTCTCTCTCTCTCTCTCTCTCTCTCTCTCTGTCTGTCTTTTTCTGGAGATAGGGTCTCTCCTTGGCCTACCACCTGGCCATGTAGACTAGGTTGGCCTTTGATCTATCAGGGATCTGTCTGGATCTACATCCTATCTCTCTGTTGCTGAGATTACAAGTATCTACTGACACACACAACTTTCTATGTGGGTCCTGAAGATCTGGATGCAGGATCTCGCATTGCATTGTTAAGACAAGCATTCTATCAACAGAGCCACCTCTGCAGACCAGGGACTGACTCTTGTATACAGCTGCTCTCCCACTTAACATGCTGTTATATGCCCAAAACGTCACAGTAGGAAATACATCTGACTATACCTGGCCTACAGTGGGCGGCCTAGCCTGGAAGGATGTCTTCCAGGAGCTGATACTGAGGATCATAGCTTGGAAAACTGACTTCAGCTTTGAAGTGAGTGGTCTGATTAGTGCATGTCACTTTCACTGTAAAGTCAAGATTTAATCCCGGGACTGGAAAAGCTGAGGCAGGTAGATCTCTGTCAGTTTGAGACCAGCTTGGTCTACACAGCAAGATCAATGGCAGAGCTATACAATGAGTCTCTGTCTCAAAAACAAACAAAACAAAAACAAACAAACAAATACTCAGCTCAAACTATTGTGAAGGACTATACTGCACTGGTTAGCTTTTTATCGACTTAACGGAAGCTGAAGTCATCTGTGAAGAGGGAGGCCTCAGATGAGGTATTGAAAAGATCTTTTGGCCTGTTGGGGGTATTTTCTTGATTAATGATCATTGTATTTTCTAGCTTGCTTCCAAACATAATGAATTGTGATCTAATAGGATGCAAAACCAAAAAGAGACCATTCCGCTATGGTCTTGCCTTTAGAACTTGTCTCTAGGTTCCTGCTCTGACTTCCCTCTCTGATAGACTTTCTTCCTTATGGTCTGTCTTCCATAGGATTTCTATTGTTCTGATAAAATACCATGACCAAAAGCAACTTGGGGAGCAAATGGTTTATTTTATCTTACAACTCCCAGGTCAAACTCCATGGCTGAGAGAAGTTAGGGCAGGAACTCAAGGCAGGAACTGGAGGCAGGGCCTGAACAGAGGCCATAGAGGAGCACTGTTTACTAGATTGCTCCTTATGATTTGCTCAGACTTCTTTCTTATATCACTCAGGACCACCTAAGCTGGGGTGGCACCACCCACAGTGGGCTGGACCCCTGCATCAATCATTCATTAGTCAATAAAATGCCCCTGATAGACTTGCTTATGCAGACACCTTCTAAATTGAGATTCCCTCTTCTCAGATGAGTCTAGGCTTGTGTCAAGTTGACAAAAACCAGCACAAAGCAAACTGCAACCTTGTTACCACCTACACTTTATGTCACTCATTGACATTCTCTCTATGTGAAGTTATGGTGAACTCAAACACATTGTAGTACTTCCTTTCTGATGCAGATGCTTTTGAGTTCTCTTCCATCTGCTACTGCTTTGGCCAGAGCCTCCTTAACAATGCTAAAGAGGAGCAGTGGAAGCAATAATGCCAGTCCCTTCTAGTGGCTCCTATTACTCAAAGATCAAGCACATGCAGGCTGGAGATTAGTCAGAAATGACATTCCTGCTATTCGGGAGAGATTGGGCTAGACCTTCACATTCACACAAGGAA